ATAATCCTTATACATAGCGTGTATAAACTTGTACATAGTCTATATAATGCTTGTACATAGCGTGTGTATATTGTTTGAATAAACTTATACATAGTATGCATAATGCTTATAAATAATATATATAATGCTTATACATAGTATGTATAATACTTATATAAACTTATACATAATGTGTATAATGCTTGAACTTAGTATGTACAAATATATACCTAGTTTTTATAATTCTTAGATATAGTGTTTACAACCATATACATTGTTTGTATAATGCTTGTATATAGTAAATATAAATTTGTATATAGTATGTATAAACTTGTATATTGCGTGTATAAACTTGTACATAGTGTGTATAATACTTATACATATCATATACAAACTTGTACATAGTGTTTAAAATGCTTATACTTAGCATGTATAAACTTATATAATTCATGTATAATTCTTGTACATATCATGTATAAACTTATACATAGTATAAAAAATACTTATACGTACCATATACATAGTATGTATAATGCTTATATATAACGTATAGAAACTTATATATAGTGTGTATAATTCTTCTTTAAAGTACATAAAATGCTTATACATATAGTATATAAACTTATATATAGTGTGTATAATACTTATATATTGCATGTCAAACTTGTATATAGTGTGTATAAACTTCTATATAGTATGCATAATGGTTGTATAAACTTATACATAGTGTGTATAATGTTTGTAGATAGCATGTGTATAATGTTTGAATAAACCTGTACATAGTGTGTATAATGCTTGTAAATAGTGTGTATAATGCTTATACAAATAATGTCTAAACTTATTCATAGTGTGAATAATTCTTGTATGAACTTGTACATAGTGTGTATAATGCTTGTACATAGCATCTATAATACTTGTATAAACTTGTATATAGTGTGTAAAATGCTTGTATATAGCATGTAAAAACTTCATGTAAAAACTTGTACATAGTTTTTATAATGCTTATATATAGTGTTTATAAACATATACATAGTGTGTATAATGCTATTACATAGCATGTATAAACTTGTATATAGTGTGTATAAACTTGTACTTTGCGTGTACAAACTTGTACCTAGTGTATATAATACTTGTAAATATCATGTATAAATTTGTACATAGCGTGTAAAATGCTTGTACATAGCATGTATAAACTTGTATAATTCATGTATAATATTTGTACATATTATGCATAAACTTATACATAGTGAGTATAATACTTATACATACAATATACATAGTGTGTATAAAGCTTATATATAGCGTGTATAAACTTATACATAGTGTGTATAATTCTTATTTATAGTGTGTAAAATGCTTGAACATATCGTGCATAAACTTGTACATAGTGTGTATAATACTTGTATATTTCATGTAAAACTTGTACATATTGTGTATAAAACTTATACACAGTGTTTATAATATTTATATATAGTGTGTACAAACTTATACATAATATGTATAATGCTTGCACATAGCGTGTATAAAATTGTGCATAGTTTGTATATTATTTATAGTATATTATACACCATGTAAAACTATTTATAAGCAAACTTATACATGGAGTGTATAATACTTGTACATAGTGTGATATAAATCATCATTATTAATAATAAAGGTTTAGATCCATCTTGTAGTTTTCTTAAATACCTTTAAATATTCATTACAAGTGAAGAGCAATTATTACTGCTACTTCTTGCTAAGCCAAATTTCAAATATACTTCCAAACCCATTTCTTTTGAAAATTCCTCACAACAATGATATCCCTCACCGTCTAGATGCAAGAAGGTGACATAAAAAGATGAACACATTTTATATAATTTAATTAAAAGATGGTTTACAAATCTGAAAGATGAGGAATAGCAAAGAAAACATAGTATGCACATTAGCTAAATTTTGAGGATACAATCTTCAAAGAAGCACTTGATTTCAGCCAAACGATGAGGTCGGAGCTCCTTGATATCTATATAATGTCTATATTCAGGATCATAATCACAAACAATATTTATTTTATCATCCTTTTCTCCTTGTTTTGAACAACGTATATAATAAATCAACATCTTTACCAAATACGGATAAATTTTAGAATCAAAATGATATAAGTTTGATTTGCATATAAAATAAAAGAATAAAACCTTATCAATCATAGGCATGAGGCCTATAGCTTTTGTACAAAGGAAACATCTTAGGAGGATTGGCTCCTGTTCAAAGAAGAAACACTAATAATCCACATGAATAATTCTTGTAAGCATAGAGCAGAGCAACTGATAATTTTAACATATATTATAAAAATAAAAAATACATTTTCCTAATAGCGTACCTTCATGAGAACAAGAACATCCAGAGGGTCATTGTCTTCACAGAGTGTTTTTGGAATGAAACCATAGGTTTTGGGGTACACCCCCGATGAGTAAAGAACATAATATACCTGAACAAGAGGGGAGGAACAATTCCTTTTTCTTCTCAAACTTTATTTTCTTATTTTTGAGTGAAGGAATTTGGCTATTTTAGAGGACTTCCTCATTTACCTTTATCAGCCAAGTCTTTTTATCGAGTTCATACTTCCCCTTACTTGGTTTTGAAGACCTTTCTAGGGCACATGCACATAATTTCCATCACTAACATTCAAGATGAACTCTCACTAACTTGATAACGTAGTATAAACTATACTTCATCCTTATTTATAAATGAAATTTGAAGCATCGAGTCTCAGCTCACTAACTTAATAACATAGTTTAAACTATACTTTATCCTTATTTGCAATTGAAGTTTGAATAATCTAGTCTCAGCTCACTCACGAAAGAATTAGGAAATTATTTTAATGATGAAGAGCTGCTAATTGACAAATAACTGCATAACAAAAAGAAAAGGAGAGTGAATATTAAAAATAAAATGATATAACCAAAATCATAGAGCATACTTTAACGGGCTATCAATAATTTAATTTAATTATGGTCATTTATTCAGTAACCAGCAAAGAAAATTATGGTAAGAAAATGCATGGAAAGAAGAAACACATAGACTGCATGCATTTTTTTCATGTCAAAATGCACTCCTATAAAAATGATTCATCTTTCTTATTCCAGGAAAATCTACCAATGATACCAATGATAAAACCTTGCTTGTGTTAATTATTTTATTCCTTTCTAGTGTAAACCACATAAAAAGTAGCACGATGAACAATATGCATCTGAGAACCCTATAGCACAATGTTTTCAGTTAATAATAATAAAAGTTTAATTTAAATAGAAATAGCTGCAAATTGATTATCATCACATAGGTATATAATCAAGACAAAAAAGCTCATACTTCACTACAAAATAAACTTTACTCATCATTTGATACAAGTTTCCAAGTAGTTCATACGCTTTGTTAACCAAAGCATCAAGTTCCCCCAGCATTTTTTTCAGCTTGTCATCTGAAGCTAAGTTAGAGATAGAATCCTCTTCCAATGCAGCCTTCAACATCACCAAGATAGAATCCTCTTCCAATGTAGCCTTCAGCATTTTATTCAGCTTGTCATCAATAAAACCTTGCAAGCAATTTAAGCTACCTTTAATTTTATACCCTGATATCATCATCCTTAAGCCCAACTACTAGGGTCGGCTTAATCAGCATCTTGGCTAGTCCTTTTAATGTTTTAGACATGCTAATTCTAATTTTCGCAAATCTTCACACACAACATAAAAAATCCTCAATAACTTGAAACTGTCTTTTTTTTTTCATTATAATCCTTCGACAAAAATTATATCAATTTTCCTTACCGGTTGACTTTGGGTAAATATTTACACAAACATTATAAGTCTATCTTCTATAACCTTATTTCACTACTCGATTGCCTATGTACCTTAATTCGTAAACACCTTTGTAGAATAAGGATATAATGAATCCAATAACTAACTCAAATGAACTAAAATCACACCAATGACCTAATTAATAAACTTCAAAATTAGCGATTGAGAAGATAATGACAAGGTCCGAAGATTAACCTTTTATTATATACAAAACAATTTGCATTCGGTGCTACAACATTCGATAGATTGTTCAAAACTTGTAAATTAAGAACCTCAAGAACCTTAGAAAATCAAAAGAGGGAACAAGAATATTTTATGAACCCTACACAATCAGCATTATATATTGGAATCAATAAAGCATATTGTGCTTAAAAAAGATTAAAAGCCATTAGAAGACTTACCAAATGCAGCTGTCTTGAAGTAGTGTCAGCGATCGATGAATCGCACGCATGCCGCATCAGAAATGCTGTGCTTGAGCAAGATGAAAAAAATAATAAGGGGAAGAGGAGGCCTCGATCGGCAATGTAGCGGCAACGATCAAGTATTCAACTTTGGGGTGAATACACGCTTGAGAAAAATGAAAGAATAATTAGAGGAAGGGGAAAGTTTGAGATAGTGCGGGGTAAAGTGGGGACTTGTCGCACAAGATCTCTTAATTAGCACCAAAATCATTATATGCCCTAATATATATTTGTTAGGACACATAGATAAAAGTGTTGCTAAAAGTTATTTTTTTATAGTGTACACACTACATATAAGCATTATACACACTACGTATAAGTTTTATACACACTATGTATAAGTTTTACAAGCAATATACAAGTATTATACACGCTATATATAAGTTTATACACAATATGTACAAGCATTTTATACACTATAAATAAGAATTATACACACTATGTATAAGTTTATACACGCTATATATTATCATTATACACACTATGTATATGGTATGTATAAGTATTATAAACAGTATGTACAATTTTATACATGCACAAGCATTATATATGAATTATACAAGTTTATACAGGCTATGTACAAGTATTTTATACACTATATATAAGTTTGTACATCTATGTACAAGTATTATACACACTATTTTTAAGTTTATACACACTATATATAATTTTATATATATTATGTACAAGTATTATACATAGTATGTATATATTTGTAAACACTATATATAAGTATTATAAAAATTATTTACAAGTTTTTACATGATATGTATAAGCATTATACACACTACATATAAGTTTATACAAGTATTATAGATGTTATATATAAGTATTATACATACTATGTACAAGTTTATACAAGCATTATACACACTATGTATAAGTTTATAAAATATATGTACAAGAATTATAAACACTATTTACAAGCATTATACACACTAAGTACAAGTTTATTCGAGCATTCTACACACGCTATGTACAAGTATTATATAGACTCTGTATAAGTTTATACACGCTATGTATAAGGATTATACAAATTATGAATAAGTTTAGGCACATTATGTAGAAGTTTATACTCGCTATGTATATGGATTATACACATCATAAATAAGTTTATACACGTATTATACATAATTATTACACACTATGTGCAAGTTTATACATGCTATGTATAAGGCTTATACATACTATATATAAGTTTATAAATGCTATATACATAATTTTTACATAATGTGCATGTTTATAACCGCTATGTACAAGCATTATACATGCTATGTATAACTATTATACATAATATGTACAAGTTTATACAAATACTGTAAATGTTATGTACAAGTTTATAAATACTATATATAAGCATTATACACATTTTGTATAAGTTTATACATGTTATGTAAAAGCATTATACACACTATGTACACGCTATATACGAGCATTGTAAATACTATATACATGAATTTTAATTATTACATATAAGTTTAAACAAGCATTCTACACTAAGTTTAAGCTATATATAAGTATTATACACACTAAATACATATTTATACACGCTATGTACAAGCATTATACACACTATTCATAAGTATTATACACTCTGAATAGGTTTATCTACACTATGTATAAGTTTATAGAAGCTATATATAAGCATTGTATATGTTATATACAAGCATTATGCATGCTATATAAAAGTATTATATATACTACGTATAAGTTTATACAAGCATTATACATAATATATAGAAGTTTATACATGCTATCTATAAATAATATACATTTTATGTACAAGTTTATACATGTTATATACAAGTATTATACATAGTATGTATAAGTTTGTACACACTATGTATAATCATTATAAATACTATGTATAAATTCTATACACACTCTTTACAAGTTTTACATGTAATATACAAGAATTATACACAATATGTACATGTTTATAGATGATATATACAAGCATTTTACACACTACAAATAAGAACTATATACACTATATATAAGTTTATAAACGCTATATATAAATATTATACACACTATGTGTATGGTATGTATAAGTATTATACACATTATGAATATGTTTATTAAACTATGTACAGGCATTATACATGAATTATAATGGTTTATACACGCTATGTATAAGCCTTTTATATGCTATGTACAAGTTTGTAAATGTTTTGTACAAGTATTATACACACTATGTATAAGTTTATACACATAATGTACAAGTTTATACACACTATATATAAGTTTATACAAGTTATGTACAAGTATTATAGACACTATGTATATATTTGTAAACAATTTATAAAAGCATTATAAAAATTACGTATAAATTTGTATATGTTATTTACAAGTATTATACACACTATGTACAAGTTTATACAAGTATTATATATGCTATGTACAAAAATTATACACACTAAGTACAAGTTTATACAAGCATTATACACACAATGTACAAGTTTAGACATTCTATTTATAAGTATTATACACACTATTTGTAAGCATTATATACATTATGTACAACTTTATTCAAACATTATACACATACTATATACAAGCATTATATAGATTATGTTTTAGTTTATATACGCTTTGTATAATGTTTATACAAACTATGAACAAGTTTATACACATTATGTATAAGTTTATACACACTATGTATAAGGATTATACACACCATGTATAAGTTTATAAACGATATATATATAATTTTTACACACTATGTGCAAGTTTATACATTTTATGTATAAGGCTTATACATACTATGTATAATTTTAAAAATGCTATAAACATAATTTTTAAATATTATTATGTGTAAGTTTATACACGCTATGTACAAGCATTATACATGTTATGTACATGTGTTATACACACTATGTACAAGTTTATACTAATATTAAATATGTTATGTACAAGTTTATACATGTTATATATAAGCATTATATAGATTATGTATAAGTTTATACACGATATGTACAAGCATTATAAACACTATGTACATACTATGTACGAGCATTGCACACACTGTATACAAGAATTATAGACATTATATATAATTTTATACATGCATTCTACACTATGTTTAATTTTATATACATACTATATACATATCTATACATAATTTACATACTATGTATAAGTTTATACATGCTATGTACAGGCATTATACATATTATGTATAAGTTTGTACACAAAATGTATAAGAATTATAAACAATATGTACAAGTTTTGTACACACTATGTATAAGTTTTACATGCAATATACAAGTATTATATACACTATGTATAGGTTTATACGCGATATATACTAGTATTTTACACACTATACATAAGAATTATACATACTATGTATAAGTTTATACACGCTATATATAAACATTATACATACTATGTATATGATATGTATAAGTATTATACACACTAAGTATAAGTTTATGCATGCTATGTACAAGCGATATACATGAATTATATAAGTTTATACATACTATGTAGATTCATTTTACAGATTATGTATATGTTTGTACATGCTATGTATAAGTATTATACACATATATATAAGTTTATAGATGCAATATATAAGTTTATACCAAATATGTAAAAGCATTATATATACTTTGTATATGTTTGTAAATACTATATATAAGCATTATAAAAACTATATACAAGTTCGTTCATGCTATGTATAAGTATTATACACACTATGTATAAGTTTATACATGCTATGTACAAGCGATATACATGAATTATATAAGTTTATACACGCTATGTACAAGCATTTTACACATTATGTATAAGTTTGTACATGCTATGTATAAGTATTATACACACTATGTATAAATTTTTACAAGTATTATAGATATTATGCACAAGCATTATACACATTATGTATAAGTTTATATAAGCAGTATACACACTATATACAAGTTTATAGATTCTATGTACAAACATTATACACACTATTTACAAGCATTATAAAAGCTACGTACAAGTTTGTTCAAACATTATAAACATGTAATGTACAAGCATTATACAGACTATGTACAAGTTTATACATGATATGTATATGGATTATACAAATTATGAATAAGCTTATGCACATTATGTATAAGTTTATACACGCTATGTATAAGGATTATATACACCATGTTTAAGTTTATACAAGCTATATACATAATTTTTACACACTATATGGAAGTTTATATATGCTATGTATAAGACTTATACATATATATAAATATTTATAAATGTTATATACATAATTTTTACACACTATGTGCAAGTTTATACACGCTATGTACAAGCATTACACATATTTTGTAT